CAGCGATGGGCACCGCCGCCGACGCTGATTCCCTCTCTCTCGGTGTCCATCGTTACCGCCGTGGCTGCCATCGAGGACGACCCCGGCGTGGAGGACAAGGACAGGCTTCTGGCGCAGCAGCAGCTTCAGTGGATGGGCGAGATCGACTCCCAGGAGCCCCAGATTGTGGAGTCCGTCATCCCAGGAGAACCCGCGCTCGAGGTGTACACGAGGCCTTCGCGGCCGGGCGCCATTCCTCGTCTTCAAGGGCCTTTTGACTTGCAGGCGGGCCCGGAAACAGGAGATGACCTGGACAGCTCCATCACAGACATCCTGGTGATTGGGAAGAAGACGGAGACGGAGGACCTCATGTTGGGCGAGGAAGACGAGCTCGACTTTGACAACGGGGATCAGGAAGGCCTCTCGCTGACTGTCATCTGTTTGCTGTCCACGAGCGGCCAGGTCCGCATTTACCTGGACACCGATGGAGTACAAGCTCAGTGGCTGCCCCCCAAGGGCAAGAGCAGGCTCAGTCGCGCAGTGGCAGCGGAGACGGAACCGCCTGCTCTTCTGGCATTCCAAGCCATCGACACCATGACCCCGGTCGAGGTCAACGAAGGTAGCTGGCCGGTGTTTAGCACGGACGTCATGTCGCGATACAACTTTTTTGTCACCCACCACGCGGCCATCACGTTCATCTCACTCTCCCCTTGGATCTTTAGGCTTGAGAGCGAGCTACAGGGCGAGTTTGAAGCTGGCACGGACTTCCGTCTCGGTCTCTTGGCCAACGCGCAATCTACCAGAGACCGAGTCTACGCGCAGCAGGCAGCAGATGTCGCAATCCCGCTGGCAGGCTGCGTAACCATCCGCGATCCCGACCTTGGCTACTTCCTCCTCTCAGCGACACCCTACGAGCCCATTGCGCTGACTTTTGAGACGCCCGACGATGAGCCAGTGACCGTTCGACAGGACAGCCCCGTTCACGAGCGCGAAGTCAGCATGGCGCCTCTGGACTTTTACGAGCCGCGACCGGTCTATTATCCTCCACATACCTTTAGCGAATCGTCCGCCCTGCCAGAGCTGCTGGAGCGCCTCCGCACGTCTCGCCACAAGACCATTGTCAATCAGGAGGTGAAGCTCAGCCCGCTCACGCTGGCCATCTTTACCGACGCACACAAGGTTCTCAGCGACGAGACATATCGGCTGGGCGTGGCGGCGGCCGAGGTCTTTCGTCGATGCGAACTGTTACAAGCGGAGCTACGGCAGCAGGTCAGGAAGGCCAACGAGGTCAAGGGCAAGATCGACACCATCAACGGATCTCACAGGGAGAACAACGAACCGGACAATGCAATGTACGAGAGGCGGATCAACGAGGCCAAGGAGCGGCAGGAGAGGCTGACGAGGCGGATGGAGGATCTGCGCAAGACGGTCAGCAAGACGACATGGCGTGATCTGAGCGCCAAGGAGCGAGCGTTTGTGGAAGAGGTCAAGGCGATGGAGGCTAGCGTGTCTGGGCCTCCTCCGGGGGCTGAGGCCGGGTCGTCGAGGAACCAGGCGAAACAGGTATGGAGGCGGCTGGAGGAGGTCAAGAGGCTGCAGGCAGAACTGGTGGCCGAGGCCGAGGCGCTGAAAAACGCGAGCGGCACCGAGTCCCCGGCCAGCGTGGAGCAGCTGCGCATTCCCCAAGACATACGACGCAGCAAGCTGCAGCAGGTGCAAGGACTGCTGTCCCGCGAGTCTGCGCTAGTCGAGGCCGTAACGTCACGACTGGAGCGGCTCCAGGCCAGCATTTGAGGTCTTAGCACCCCCTGACTGTATTATGTGCAGAATGTGGAGGTTGGGGGATTTTGGGAAGGCCAGGATGGGAAACATGGCGAGCTGCCAAATAGGCATGTGTTGTTAATGATGAGCTTTGGTTGAGGGTTACGGTACAATGGATCTACGTGGGCGAACGACTGAACACTGGACCATAACTTTTTCTTTTTTTTTTTTTTTTTCTTCTCTTCCTTGTCTGACTCTGAATAGATGAATGCCTGTTGTCACCTCTTGGGCCTTGTCCCCTCTGCCGTGGCGTTTTGTCCCTTATCCACCCATCAGACCATGGCCACTTTTCCTTTCTCCCTACATACAGGGCAAAATTGACTGGCTGACAGTTGAGCTGTATACGACATTCACGCGGAGAGGGTGCCCCCCCGATCCAGGTACATGGATAGAAGAGGAGCAGCAGCAGCAGCAGCAGCAGCAGTAGCAAGCAAGCAAGCAAGCAAGCAACATCCCTGCTTCATGCCATGTCTGTCACTCCGCCGAATCAGGATTGAGGAGGGCCGGGCAGCCTGGGGGACGTTATGGACGGGAGAGGTTCTTACCGGTGAGGATGCGGGCATGCTTTTTATCTGGTCTGATTACATGGATTGGCATGTGATGGGGATGGGCTAAGGTCTGCGATATCCCTTTTTTTTTCCTTTTCCCTAAATGTGATGATGAGATTGGGCTGCTGCATGATGACAGAAAGTCGAAACCGTCATTGATGCAAAGGGAACGGGACGGAGAGAGGTAGGGAGAAAATCTGAGAGTGTAGGGAGCTTTTCTCATGGGAACTGGCGTCTAGAGAAAGGCACGAGCCGCGCCTGCTGGCCCGTGGCATGTCTCATCCCATGAACCGGGCAATCTGTTCCGCGGCGAGAGGAAGAGGATACTGTGAATCATTTGGAGAGAGCCCGTTGCCGTAAAGCACCCCCCTGGCAATAAGACAGTAGGAGGATATTGTCCGAGAGGGAACTTGCACCTCCGGGTGGGGGGGCATGCGGACGGCACGAGGAGGGGAGGAGGAGGATCTACGCAGGGGTGTTTGTTGATATGGCATGATTTCGAAGGTTGAAGGGCTTTGGCTCTGGGTTTGGAGCTGGAAGGTGGACGATTCGAAGAGAGCGCTGGGGGAGGCTGGGTTTGTGTTGTGTTTCTGTGTATGATATGCAAATGAATCAATGGATGGGCAGGGGAGTGGGTGTTCTATTCACTTCTTTTCAAGATGATTTTGTTTGCCACATGCAGACCAGGCGGACAAACGACATAAAGTAATGTTCTTTATACCTGTCTTTATACCAGAGTCATCCAGAGTGAGCACACTTTGGTCACAAGAGCGGGCTGCCTTACGAGCAAGGCTAGGGGGGCCAGGATGGGCAAAAAAAAAAGCAAAGAAGACACGGCAAGGCAAACCAGGGGTTGAAAAAAAAAGGCAAAAACGATAGTTGGGGTTGCTAGTGATGCAGCGTGCGTCTTTCAGCCTCTCCGAGTTGCGTTTTACAGTACCTTTGTTTGTTGAATGTGCAGGCGGGTTTTTGTCTTGACACCCCTGGTTTTGGTGTGGTGCGTTCTGGGTTGCATACAAATTTTGGGCTTCAGACATGCATGAGAGGCGGCAGACGGGAAGAGAGGTATTGGCTACAGGAGAAGCAGTATGTTTGTATTGGAAGGAAGGTAGACGAGACGTCGTGTCTCTCTGGGGGAGACTTTCTCTTGATGTTTGTGTTCCATTCTGCTGTCCAAGATGCTTCAGTTGGAAAGTCTCGTTCTAAGATGGACTGATGGGTGGACTAGGAAGGCTTCGTTGCTTTCATGTTTTCCCTGCTTGTTCCTTTTCAACTGTCTGAGAAGTAGCTTGTCTGCCGCTTTGGTGGCTTGCCGTGGTGGTACACACACACACACACACACAACAGACGCAAGCCCGAGAAGCATGTTTGCGCGGTGGTGCGGCTGGATTGCATGGGGGAGGGGGGAGGAGGAGGAGGAGGTCATGCAAGGGGGTTGAAGAGTGACAGATACGAAGCCAGTAAGTCGTAAGAGAACGAGTCTTGACATAAAAACATCAATGGAAGAATTATAAAAATGTGCAAGATGAGAAGAACGAAGTGTATCTCTGTTTGTTCAATGTGCAGAAGTTGTGGTTTTTGTCTTGGGTCGGCTTGGAGGGGGGGAGGGGGGTTATATAAGGACGTGAGGATTCCCGGTTGATGGGACTTGTGTGGTTCTCTATTACTTTTCTGCAGCGAGATTTCGAGGTTTATCAGATTTCTTGTTCTCCCAATTTTATAACCTTCTTTTCGCCTTGGGCTTGATATTCTTGAAAGTCTTGTGTTGCTCTCCTCATGCAACTGACTGAGCTTCCACCAAAATCAAGCAGGATGGCTCAAGTTCCTCATCAGGGCGGCTTGCACTACATTGAGCTCATCAAAAGTACGCCCCAGAACCGACCTTCATATTCCCCTCTCGAACCCTCCAACATGCTGACTCCCTTTTCCCTCACAGCAAACCTCCAGTTCATCCACGGCAAAGACTGCCTCTTCCAAATCCTCTCCCAAGTCAAGGCCCTCGACGACCACTGGCAAGTCAGCGTCCTCAAGACGGACGAGACCGGCAGCAGCAGCCCCCGGTCCATCGTCTTATTCGACGACTCCGGCCCAGGCCTCGTCGCCGCGCTGGCGAAGCTGCACCGGCGGTCGGCGGAGATGCTGGCCGCGTTCCTCGCGGACAACGCTGGCGATGCGAGCGCGTACATGAGGCGCAAGGAGGCCGAGGCGCTGTCGAAGAAGACGACGGACGAGCAGCCGAAGAAGAAGAAAAAGAAGGAAGTGGAGAGGTCCAGGAACGGAGTGGAAAAGCCGCAGAGTGATGACGATGACGACGAGGTGAAGACGCCTACTGCTGTCCAGGTTGCTGTCGTCGCCAAGGCGGTTGGTGGCCTTTCGGCGGATGGGCAGAGGCCGCTGCGCATGAGCGCGAGGAGCCCTCCGCCGCCTCTGGAGGAGAAGAAGAAGAAGAAGAAGAACGGTTGGGAGCGTGTTGCTGCGCCGTGTCGCTTCAGGGGGTGGAGGTCGCCGAGTCCGCCTCCTTGCGAGGAGGATTACGAGCCTGTGTCGAGGTACGAGGACAGCAGTCTTCGGCCCAGGGGCATCATCTGCCCCAACTACGGGCCGGCGAGCGCCTTTTACCGCGTGCCTGACGTCCGCACCGAGCTTGCGTATTGGCCGAGTGCCAGGGTGGCCAAGGCCCCGGAGGACAACAAGGTCGAGGTGGGCAAGCCCGCGGCTGGAGACTCGGCTTGTCCCCCGGCTCCGGCTGCTGCTTCTTCTGCTACTGCTGCTGCTCTGACTGCTGAAGCTATCAAGACTCTGGCGCCTCAGCCTCCGCACAAGACGGAGTCTGACAAGGAGAATATGGAGAGTACGTTGCCTGCCGTGTCCACGCAGGCCGAAGAAGACGTGGCCCAGATCAAGCGCATCGACAAGAAGAGCGTCCTCCTCTACATCTCCTGGCCCTCCTACGGCTCGACCATTGTCGCGGACCAGTGCGAGCTCAGCGTGCGCTCGCTCCAGAGCCGCGTGCGCCACATGCTGCGCTCCAACGGCCCGGCGCTCTTTGGCGATGCCCTCCTCGGCGCGGAGCCGCCGGTCGTGTTTGGGCCGGACGAGGTGCCTTCGTTTGTGGTGCAGATCAAGGGGCTGAGGGTGGATGGGCAGGTGGTCATGCTGGGGCCGGCGTTTGGGGACGATGTTGCAAAGGTGGTGGAGGGGAGGGAGGTTGAGGGGGCGATTCGGGTGGAGGTTGAGCTGGTGTGGAAGGGGAGGGATTTGCGTGCTGCTGCTAAATAGGACTTGTAGGATGACGAAGTGTTGTGATGGGTTTGAAGGACAAAGAAGGAATAGATTAGAAAGGACAGAATGAAATACGAGGGACAGAGATGGCATTATCGGTTATGACAATACCAGGATAGGACTGTTGGTTGATGAATACATCTCCGTGATTTTGTGCTCGCCCCCTTTGCATGGTGCTCTGCTCGACTAAACAGGCTTATTCGTAGTGTAGTTACTATGGACAACGGTCGCCTTCCTGCGGGATGAGATGAGTTTTGTAGAGCACCTGTTCAGCAGCTCAAAGTGGTTGACGGCGTATCCGGCGGTCGATGGCAGACTGTCCATCAGACTATCTGAGATGTCGCCATGGAGGGCATCTACACAACGCCTGACAACATGTGCGAGCTCACGGCAGCGGTCAGATGTAATTCACGCAACATGAAGTAGCTTACTCTCTTCGAAGCCCCCGTCCTAAGTGAATCTTGTTTTGTAAGAGGGAGTGGCTAGCCAGCACCCCAAGTGGGTTATCCAGTATCCCCAGTCTTTAGATTTCTTACTACTATACCTTACCTACTAGGATTCATCGCATATAGCCAGACTAGAAATATATAGCAAGACTGGAGACACATAGCAGCAGAAGCAAAATATAAGAATTTTGGATTATAATCAATAGTTATAGTAGCAGTATTAAAGGTGTGACTTTGCTGTGGTGCTGGATACTTGTAGCCAAGCCGGGGTGCTGGTTAGCCACTCCCCTGATCAACCGTCTGGACGAGGTCCAGCCCAATCATCTGCATCAACAAACATGTCCCAATGGCGAGTGACAGCCGCGCAGCCGCTCCGGGACATCGAAGGCCTCGACCACGAGCGATGCGCCGCCCTGCACAACCTCATCATTGAGCGAGGCTGGACCGCAAGCGGCCGCCGCCTGAGCGATCTCGACCGCCGGCCCTGGTGGGAATGTTATGGCGGGGACGCGCAACTATGGCCTCACGCTGCCAGGTTGAGCCCTTCTCTCGTTGCCTTTCTCCAAGCGGCGTGGCACGGCTACACAGTGACGGCACAGCCCCAGCACGCATTCTTCAGATACCTTTTCGGGCTCGGCTCGCCGAATGATCTCTGGGAGCACGCCAACTATGGCGACGACGAGGACGACTCCAACAAGAGGCGCTACGTGAAGCTCTACATGGCGAACTGGGCGCTGGGCGCCAGCCACCCCCTGGGCCTCATTTTCGACCAGGACACGTCGACGGCGATGCAGCACATGTCGATCCATGACACGAGCGTCACGATGAATGGTCGACAGGAGTGGCTGCCCCTGGAGCTCATTCTCGAAGCCTTCCTGGACATGATGGACCAGGGCAAGGCGCTTGCGGTGGGCTCGTCCTACGATGGAGAGCAAGAGAGGATAGACTCTTGGATCATGCCCTCTTACACGGAGTGCGACTTGGACGAGGCTCTCGAAGCCTTTAACCGACTGACGCGGGCGATCGAAGCTCGTATGCCTGGACCATATTGCGCCGAAACGCACCACCTTGGGGATATCCTCAAGTCGAGCACGCTCTCCCCAAACAGCTTTGCAGGCCGGTTCCTGGCACAGGCGCGGCAAGTTCGATTTCGCTATATTGCACCTGGCCTCCGTATCGCCCGCCAACAGCCATTCTCTTCAGTTAATGTTGAAGAGGGAGAGTTGTGGCCTATACTGCTGTTTGAGAGCAGCCAGGAAGCTCATCAAGACACGCGACAATCGCCATGGGGAGAAGAAGTCGTCATATCACCCTTCCCGCCGCCTTTTCAGGAGGTAACAAACTATCCTGCCGGGGTCTATCTGACGGAGACGGATCCGCATGGCAAGCATCCGTTTGAAGACGGTTGCTTGCTAATCCTGCCGTATGCCATCGGCGAGAATGGCTGGGCTCGGACGAGTGACGGGGCGCTATTTGGGGAGGAGACGCATGCTAGAGGGTCAGTCGCGGAGCCGGGGGGGAGTAGCACGGAGTTGTATCAGCAGGGATTCAACCCTTTCATACGGGGGCACGATGTGCAGCTGAAGCATTTGCTGGGGCATTGGACGGAGATGGTGGAGAGTGGGAGGTGGGCGATGGATGGTGAGGGCGTGGCTGGGGGGGTTGAGAAGTGGAGGGAGGCTGATACGGAGGAAGTATGTCGAAAACCGGCTCCGTAAGACAAAGAAACGGAGCCGAGCGAGCCAAACACCAGAGTAAGCCGCATAGCGATACGCGTCGCATTGTCGCTCGTGTACTTGAAACACAGCGTATTGTGTACTTGTCAACACAATCACCAACGTTATCGTAGAGCTGCTCTACCACATAACGCCTTCTGGACCGGCCTCTTAGTGTCGACGGGTGAGCTCAAGCCTTTCACTCGTACTCCCTCGAAGTTCCATACAAATTTAAACCAAGTCGTTGCCTAGGTTTTCGAATTTAACAGAAACAAAATTCCCCTCATCGACCGGTGAGAGAATAACATTTACGTCTCTTTTGACGTATCAGACGCTTGGGAGACGAATGATCCTTCTCTTCGTACAAGCATCATTCCAATTTATATATATCATTGATATTATTTCGTCATAGGACAATAAAAGAAATTTCTTGAACGCTATTATCGTCATTATTCTACAATATCTATATATCTCTATATAAGCTCTATATTCTACATCCTGAATAATTCCGTGGACCCGAATTACGTTCCTTTCAGTTGTCCTCGGCTCTTACCCGTGCTCACGAATTTACGGCTAAGGATGGCCAGGTATAGACGTAGACGCTGGTCTCCTCCGCTACCCACTTATCGTTCAGAGTGGTTAACATTGATGAGAAAGGTCCCGTTGACCAGAGGTCAGTACCTTGTTCTTTGGTAGAATTATTCCAAGAGGAAATAGGTGAGGAGTGTTAGAGAGTAGAGGGTTCGGAATTAGAAGCGCTGGCGCGAGAGTTAGAGGTTCTCAAGCCTAAGGCTATTGCCGTGGAGTAACGGATATTAGAGGAGCATCAGAGGAAGTATCGAGTATAGTTTCTTCAACATGGGTTCATCCGACCGGTTTACTCGGGCTTTGGGCGCCGCGTTTCTCGAACTAGCACGGAGTCGCGTCTATTCTGCGTGGTGCCGGCACTCCCGACGGAGTTCTCCCTGACAGGTCTACAACTTCCATACCGGACCGTACTAACTCATAGCATAGAGATATCCAAAGATTCAACACTTTCAGGTTAGGGCTGGTTCTGTTTCCATTCTTCTGCTCGGAGGCTTTCCAAAGTACCGGGTTCTAAAAGAAACAGAGTAGCAGCTAGAACATAGCGTGCGGATCCGGGCTCACGAGCCTCCCTATCCGTTTAGCGTCCCTGAGCCACCAAAGACCTATCATAGGGTCCCTCCGGCGTTAGACCGTTCGTAGTCCATTAACAACCAGTCCCTGATTCATTTTATCTGAGATCCAGTTCAATCTACTTCGTCGTTGTGAGCACTGTCCCTTAAACCAATGGGGCAGACAGTGTTCTCCTTATAAGTCAGCCGCGGTCTCGAGCATGAGGGTGAGCTGTTCCACTTAGACACGGCGGAGCTCAACTACATCATCCCGACGATGAGCACAAAGTACCGAGCGGTAAAGTACACCACTATAACCCTTGGTCTTCTACATGTCATCCCGCCACGAAATTCCATCCTTCTTCTCCCTCCTAAGTTTGTACAACAGAGTCGCCAACAACATTGTTATTCCAATTCCAGTGCGGTAGTACTTGGAATTCGGTCGGGTCGGTTCAATGTACATGGATTCGTTTCCGCTCTACCTGTTGGGTTAGACGTACACGAACTCGTACCGTAGCAGACGTATAACTACTCGGACTCGTCGAACTTTGCGTGTACTAGTGGTGCTGTAACCGTTGACTATCAGAGCGGTCGGT